TGCCTGGCGATCAACGAACTTGGATAACGATAGTCGTAACCGATAACGACGTCGAAGCTAAAAGGGTCGAAGTCTTCGCTGGTCAAAGCAATACTGATTCTTGCAAGCGAAGCAAATTTGACATGCTTGTTAATGCTTTCTGCCGAACATTCAACCTTTGCCGCTTCAGCAAGTTTAAAAAGTAGTCGCACCAGTTCCTCAGTCCCAGCCACAATCAAAATCTCCTTTTCCTTCCTGTCTAGTGCAGCCATCAGTTCGAATAAGAAACTGAATTTGGGATTGGAATCACAACAGTATCTGGCGAGCTCTTCACTGGGTAGCGTCTCAAGAACACTGCCAATGACATCTTGGGGATAGTCGCAAATCTCGAAGAGCCTCTCGAACAGATTTTTGATCTTCTTAGTGAGCTCTTCACTGGGCTCTTCGTGAGTCTCGCCAGTGAAGCAGCGGCTAAAGGCTTGGATTTCGTCTCTGTGGTCCTCTATTACCTCTCCATAGTAAGAACGCCTGCTCGCCTGCATTGGGAGAGTGACTTTCATTTGCACGTACAAGTCGTTCTGCTCTGAGGATTCTGACTGTACATCAGAAACCAGGTCGACAGGAAGTTGACCCATAGTAATAGAGTGCCCTGAACTTTCAACTTCAGTGGGCACTGAACCATGGTTGGGAAAGTTCAAGGTGTGGGTTGACGCAGCTGGCTCATTTACTATACTGATGACTGTGGGGGAAATTGTTGCAGGGAGCAGGCTATCTTCCTCTTCTTGGCTAATAATAGAATGGGTGAGGGATACGTCTGATTCAGCAAATCTCCTACTGAGCTCTTCTCGCATCCTGGCAACTGCAGAGATGGAAGGGTCCGCCATAATGGCTGCCGGCGCTATTGAAGACACAGGGGTGTCAGAGTTGGTCCCTAGAGCTTGTGCTTTCCAGGGACCCATAGAGTAAACTGGCTGAGACTGAAGTACAGCAGCATGGCTACTTGCGCTGGGGTCAGGAACCGGGTCTTCATCGGTGATTGCTTCATAAGGTGTCCCATCCAGGCTCTCTTCGAGAGAGTCACCAACATGTGTCAACGCCGAGTCCCTGTCGAAATCGATGTAGCTCTTTAGCTCATCGACAGCCGAATCCCGTGGTTGTGAACCCGGGCGCTCCATTTTGTGTGTTGAAGCCAATCGAGACTTTTCAAGCCCTTTAGAGTCGCTACTGGTCTGTGCAATGGTTGCAAGAGAAGGCGATCTCTGGCTGGAGCCTATTCTTTGGCCGGAAACACTCTTTTCCTCGGGTTGGGGTTTAGAAAGCTGCGACACTTCAAAGTTTTCCTCCTGACTCGCTTGAGTTTCGATTGTGGCTCTTGGCTGAGCAGTCTTGTTGAGATTCCCAGCAGCGGAAGAGAGAGAGCTCGATATGTCTAAGGGGCCGTACGACCCTTGGGGTTGAGAATAGTATCTTTGGGCCTTCTGTGTTCTTTGTGAACCTGGAGAACTTTGTGGAGATGCGGCTGTGTCTCCTAGGGCGTGCCGGGTGCTTTGGTCACTGGGCAAAGAACTATCAAGAAGGATCCCTCTCTCAGATGTTGCAGGGTCAGAGTGGCCTGGCTGACGAGACGGTATGATTTCTGAGCCAGTCGCAGCCGACTCCGGAACAATTTCCGTCTGTGAAGCAAGAGGGGTAACCTGGGTCTTTGATATAAGCGTTGAAGTCCTACCCGTGACAATGTTCAGGTTGGTGGATAGGCTCGAGTCGCCCTGTGAATTCGGAATAACGATATCAATCCGCTTGCCTGAGGAGGATAGTGCCTGTGACTGTGAGAGGTCTTCTCCACCACTCGCACCAGTTTGTTTCTCAGGGCGCTGGGGATAAACGCCGCCCTTTTCGAATTGCAGTCCACGTCTTTCGTCTCGATCCCTTTGGGGGTAATGGTGACTTGGCGCACTCTGCTCCACACCCGATTGCTGACTACCTAGAGTCTCCTCTTCGAATGGAAGACGGCTTGAAGAATCAAGGTCGTGATCTTGAACCACACGCTGCCCGTCCCCAGAACCTTGGTCAACCGAGACGCTATCTTGGCCGTATGGGTCCTGATTCACAGGCAAGTCTCGGCTGTTCGAGGAATGGCTAGCTTGAGAGTTGGCGGTTTCAAAACTCTGGTTTTCTGGCGATAAGGTACCTCGAATACCCCCGGTCGAGCCGAGATTATCTCCGTCGACTATCTGATTGTTGGCAGTGGTACGGTTCTCAGTGTTTTCACCTTCTAAATCGTTGATATATCTGAGGCTATGAATATTCTCAGTCTGATCGTTCTGATGAGCCGCACCGGTGAACCCTCCAAAATCAGTGGGTGATAGGTTGTCTTCAGGGTTTTCGGAATCGGGATACTCCGTCCTCAGATCTACAGGAGCGTTGGTAGACTGAAAATTCTCCTTCCCCGGGGAACTGGCGATGGATTCGCGATTGTGTATCTCTTTCTGGCATACAACCTCTCGAGCTTGGCGGTTGCTTCCAGGATTATCCTCAGCCAAAGATGGTGATGGATCTTTGGGCAATTCAGGACTTCCTGGAACAAAGTCAGGGCTGGCAGCAGGTTGGCTCTCGCGATCTTGATAGTCCCAATTTCCGGATAAATCTTGGGAATCTGGGATGGTGTCTTGACTTAGTTGTGATGCAAATGTGACTCGCTGATCATCATCCTCAAGATCCGTAATCCTTTGAGAGCTGTTTTGAGTAGTGACACTCTGATACTCAGATGGGTCGAAGTTGTCAGGCTTACTCAATACAACAACAACTCCTTGAGTAGGTGCCCTCGAGAATTCGAAGGAGCTCACAGATTCGGCGTCAGCAGATGAGGCAGAGATGAATGAAGGCACAGGCTCTTCGGATTTGATCCTGAAACTGCGGTTTGGCTGTACGTCTTGCTCGTGAGAATCGAATCGAGATATGTCATGAGTGGATGCATCAAGTTTTGACTGTTGTTGTTTGTTGCAATCCACAGGCGTCTCGGATTTACCCTGACGAGGTGTGAGATCTCGAAGTCCTCGTCGATTTCTTGTCTCACGACGTTGAGCTTCACGCTCTGTCCTTTCTCTTTCTATTTTCTTTTTCTCTTTCTCCCAATCCTCTAGAGCTCCAGCATTGAGATTCTCGTACTAAGGTATATGTTAGCATATGTGATCTCGTCTTATCAACTCGACTGGGTGCCAAACCGGAATCCACTGGTTCTTATAAGTCTCACCGTCAGAGTCAGTTTCCCACTCTACTAAACACCGGTGGTTACTCTCACCACTTTTGGGGTTTGCTAAGTACTCTTCATCAATGACCCGGCGAATGTTCCACCACTCTTTCTTCTTGCCCAACTTCCTGCGCTTTCTGGCAGGCGACTGTTGGACAAGTTCAGGTTCACTGTCTTGGGATTCTCCTTTTCTTTTTCTTTTCGATTTGCGCACTGATGAGGTTCTAGGTGTGTTTGTTGTGGATTGATTCTCTTCTTTGCGCGTTCTCACCATGGGTACGCTGGTATAACGTACGTGGGATGATAGCTAGAGAGCCGAGCCCAAAAAGCCACAGGAGTGCAGCAGACGGGCGAGGCAAATAGATGCAGCGCAATAACGAAGCTGCGATAAAATCTATCCAGCAACGATGACCTGCGGTGACCGGCTTCAGCGGTCAACGCTTGAAAGAAGTCGATGGTTGCGCGCCGCGATTATGAGCAAGGCTGCTAAACAGAAGCAGCTTGGGGAATGCTTTGGGGAACGTCGTCGATCAATTCCCGCTAGAATGCACGTGATGGTCAGGCCAAGGATAGTGTGCGTTCAGGGTGCGAGATCAGGGTCCTAAGGCGAGCTAGTGGACCTTGGGGGCGTGAAGCGCAGGAACAGTGGAAGAAGGGACAGGGGACCCAGGTGAAAGGCAGGGCGCGCTCCAGTGGATGAGTGAAGGTAATTACACGAGGTGCAAGTGCTGAGTTGAGGCAAGAAATAGAAATCGAAAAGAGTTCAGAGTTCAGAGTTCAGAGCTTAAATGAAGTTGTGATAGAGAAAATGGGGTAAGATAGATGAAGGTGTAAAGTGAGAGTGGAAGGTGCCTTCCTTCTCGCAATTTTTGGTTGTGAAGCTCCCCCAAGGCCGAGAAGAGGTGCCTTTGGGCGATTGAGTTAAGGTACCTCTAGTAGGTACCTAGCCCAAGCAGAGGACGCATCTTCTGCACCATGCACAGGCAGGCAAGTGCCATTCAATTTTGATGAGAATGCTGCACACACCCAAAAGTAATTCCTCACCTGTGATTCTCCTGTCTTAGGGCAGCAAACGAGACCAATTATTTGGATTGGGCTTGGGCGCCACAGGCCAAGGAGGAAGGCAGATCAAACGCCATGAGACGTCCGAGGCGAGGTCTGAACGATTATGTGGCTTTTCTACGTCAATTACAGGAAACAATGAGCCTGTTTTTTTATATTCCTCACATTTGCTCTACATTACTTGGCCCCAAACAACGCAGCTTACCTTGATGTCATGTCGTTTGGTCTTAACACAGTAAGCAAGCAGGCATGCATCTATCTTAGGTCTTCAACCGAAGCATCCAATAACTGTGTAACCTAGGACTCTGGTATACTAACTCTCTTGTTTGCAGCCTTGGTGTCTCAAAGCAAATTCAAGTTGGTAAGTTAGTAGGCTGGTATTTATAAAGCACTTGTATTAGTGGTCAAGTTGCGGCTCCTGAACCTGGAGCTGTGTAAGCGCTAAAGCAAGGCACAACAAGGTCGCTGCAAGCCTCCACTAAAACCCCATCCCCTTGAACTTGATCGGGACACCTGAGCAGTAGCGTCACACCTTGTTCAGACTTCCTTCAACGTAGGTAGGTACATTAAGACAAAAGTGCCACAGTAAAAACTGCCTTTCACGCGAATTCTGGCCCTCATCTTATCCATAAACGCTAAAAGTACTAGTCGAACCTGGACATCGCCATATCATTGTCGTCGAATGAGACAGGTGTCTTCTCTATTGAGAATCATGTCGGCGCGGTTTTCGGTTCAACCCATCGGCCGCTTTGCTGGTGCAAGTCAGCCTGTCAAAAGACCAAAGGTGCAATCCTATACAGCGAGCCATTTTATAGCTAATCCGCATGGCTTATACTAAACCTTTCACAGGAGTTTGCCTGCTTCTCATACGACGACAACCATGAGTTTCACCTAGACGATTCATCTCTCAAGTACTATTACACACCACAGCTTGGGGCTGACCTCTCCAAAGGCTTTGACACATTTCAGAAGTTGGACGATACTGGAGACGACCACCTTGACAGTCTCCTCAAGACTATCGCTGCACACGAACAAGAAACGGGCAAGAAGATTGACGCTAACGTTGTCACATGGAGAGGCATGATGACAAAGGTTCGACTACTTTGCCCATGGATGGTTTGACTTCACGAGCTAATCTCCAGGTATAGATTATGGCCGCACCCTTCGACCAGATGGATGGGTAGGTCTCTGCCGGCGGTTTGCTCTCTTTCCCTCGTTGACTTATCGATGTATAGCTTCGAGATGAATGCCACTTTGTATCAAGTAGGTGAAAGATGATATGCCCGTCCTTAAGAGCAAACCACTAACAAGTCGAGCACGCAGGATTGCATGTGAGTCCAACCAGTCCCAGAGATGTTGATGTTTGAAATTGATTCATAAAGCTTCATCGAGGAGAACAACGCCTACAAGATCGCTTCCAGATCAAATGAGGGAAACAACAAACGAAGAAGAGGACCACCGTTAGAAGTCATGCAGTTTTGGGGTGTGTGTCTCTGTTTCAAATGTACGTTACGGTTGCTCACATCGTAATCTAGGATACAAGTTTGAAACGTTGTCGACTCTGCCGGCGCCGTGGGCAGAAACATCCCGCGAGTTCATCGAAAATCGAGAGAACGAAGTCGTCAATAATAAAGCTCAATATTGTTCTGTCGTCCGCACGGGTATCGGCAAATCTGTTCTATGTCTTGGTGGCGAAGTTGATGCCAGTGAGCGAGTCCTTCAGTTCTCCTTTTCTCAACTAACATTTCCACAGTCTGGGATTCCAAACCTGAAGAGAAGGGCGGCCCCATCAACTGGGTTGAACTCAAGACATCAGCCGAGATTCGCAATCCGGGCGGCATGGAGAACTTCAAACGTAAGCTTATGAAGTACTGGATACAGTCATTCCTTCTCGGTGTGCCACGCATTGTTGTCGGTTTTCGCACGCAGGATGGTATTCTGGTGGAGGCGAGGGAGATGGAAACGCATCGTATTCCCGATATGGTCAATGCCGATCCAAATCCCAAATGGAACGCCGATATGTGTGTCAACTTTGCCGCTACTTTCTTAGAGTGTAAGTCCTGCTAACAGTTATGAATGGGGCCAATGGCTAATCTGCTTCATCAAAAGGGCTAACAGAGAACATAAACGATGAGGGCGTTTGGAGAATAAGACGCGAGCCTCAGTCACCAACAATCGAGCTATTCAAGGTGGAGGAGACAGGTCACGGCGATATCTTGTCTGATGAGTTCAAGAATTGGAGAATTAAGTTGGCTCTTGGGCCTAGCGATGCTTCCTAATGAATCTTGAGCTGGCTTGTGCACGATACAGTCATTGAGGAAAGGTCGTCATTGTCACTTAGATTATTGGATAGAGATATTGGATGCATTATACTCAGATTCTTGCTGTGGTCAATTAACAAGTCTAGGCTGTGCCTGCATCTAGTTGTCTACCTGCCAATATCGAAACAGCTGCAATGCAATGAAAGATTAAAACAAGAGTTGCCTCCGTACCATCCATGTTCTTAAATGCAATCCTTACAACGCCCCACGCACCTCGCAGAAAAACAGGAAAACCAAACTAGTAGACCGGGTCAATGAGATCATCCGCGACATATCGTTATATCGTGAGCGTCATGCTAGACTGGGGTCGTCAGGTGCTGATGAAAATACGGCTGCCACTCGAAGACTCGCTTTTATCTTCCCTCCGGAAGGTAAACAATGCAAAATGAGTAGCAAAAGAAACTGCATACGAATCGTACAACATGTAAGGCGCAGTGCTGCCTGCCATGTTAAATCGTGCATCCCTGCTAAGCACGCCTGATAATCAGACAGCGGGCCATCGAATTCGAAGACCGTCTACCCAACGCGAGTAGAGCACGTCGGATAACTGCTTGCAATGCTCCATGCCCGATCTGGCCTCTTGACCAGGATATTTGTTCTCAGTGGCCAACTTCTCAGGGTCAAAGTTCTTCTCGTACATGGTGGGAGTATCGGCATGACGGCGTCGATGGCTGCGCAAATGAGGATTGTTTGAAGCCATGACGAGTTTAGTTGGACTCGACGCAGGGGTGGTGTTCTTGACAATCACAGTACCCTGCGGGGTGCCGTCACCAGGAATCTTCTGCGCAGGCTGTCGAAGGATCGTAGCGCTGAGCTTGTTATCTTGAGAGATTGATGATACCATGCTCGTCATAAGGTGATAGGCCCCCTCCGGATCAACTGCGTCCAAGGCTGCGAAAGCATCAGATAACTTAGCCAGCGCTTCTCGCTTCTGCATCGCAGACGTTTGAGCATGCAACTCGGCCAAAGAAGGCTCCACAGCTTTGTTGTACAAACGTCTCCCCAGTACAGCCTCTTTGCCATAGGGTTCGACAGGGGTTGTGGTAGGACGGGGAAGGTTTTCGTCACAGAAGACATCGTCGAGGGAGACTGGTCGGTTCCCTTGACTCCCATTTGAACCATCTGAAGGGACTCTTCTGAAAAGACGCATAGTCGATCCAGAATTGCCAAACGACATGTCTGGCTGCAGAGGTCTCTTAGGAGCGATGGAACCCCGGGGAGAACCCGGCCGCATTGATGGTTCTTGAGCGACAGACGGCGCTCGCCGGACCGTTGACTTTCTAACAGTACCCGGGGCGGGAGAAGTTCCTCCAAGAGGACCATCCTTGACATCTAGCTTCTTCATCGCCTCCTCGGCATTCCAGATGGATGAGGGTTTTCGGTGCTGCTTGATAGTCGGCCTCTTGGGAGGTAGTGCGACAGATTTTACTGTATCAAAGACCCATTCCTGCTGCTCATCCTTAGGGGTCATAGTTTGAAGGGTCTCTTGATAGTAAATGGGATGCTTCTGTCTGTTTTGGTTGGCATCCCACATCTGTCGACGAGCAATAAGCTCCTGCAGAGCCTCCACCTTACCCGCGTTACGGATGAAACGGTGGCGCAGTAGGTCTTTTGCTGATGGCCGACGGTCATAGTCCTTGGTGAGGCACTGCGCAATGAAGTCCTTGAAATCTTTGCTAAAGTTGCCCTCAAGACGAGGAGCCGGATTCTTCGGGATGTGAAAGAGGACCTTCATGGGGTGGATGTGACACAACGGGGGTTCGCCGTTGGCCATCTCCATAGCTGTGATACCCAGAGACCAAATATCGGCCTTGAAGCTGTAGCCATCTTGCTGGATCACCTCCGGGGCCATCCAGAAAGGTGTTCCGACAAAAGTGTTTCGCTGCGATTTGATGTTGGTCAATTGGGCTGCAACTCCAAAATCGGCAAGCTTGACTTTGCCGGTCTCGGATAAGAGAACGTTGGCAGCCTTGATATCTCTGTGAATCTTGCCCTCATTGTGAAGGTATTGGATGCCGAGTAGCAGTTCGCGACAAACAATGGCAATGTGCGTTTCGCTGAAGTTGGCGGGTTTCAGCTATTTCCAGTTAGCAGTTGAGACTTCGTGTCGGAGTATTGTTATGGAGAGACATACCAGATCCAAACAGGATCCGCCGCCGAGATATTCCATGACAATCCATAACTTATGGCCTCGCAAAAAAGAGCCTTTGTATTGGGTAACGTAAGAGCTGGCGCAAGTGCTCAGAACAGCGATTTCGGCTTGGATGTCTTGGATATCATCATCGTTGGATTCAAGATCGATCTGTTGACGTTGTGTGTTAGCTCGTGTATCAGGCAACCGAAATGATCGGACTCGGACTTACGTGTTTGATAGCGACAGTTTCGCCAGTTGCCTTCTCAATGCCCTTGTAGACGATGCCAAAACTACCACCTAGAATACCATCAGCTAATGTGAAGAGATACTGCCAATATTGATACTTACGGCCAAGTTCCTCAAGGACTTGATAATGCTCAGCAACGCCTTCGTCAGCCATTGTGAGTTGACGTCATGCACTGTCTCGACGTTATTTGGATTCACGCTGCTCGGGCAGAGGAGACAACGGAATGAAGAATGCTGATGATGAGGCCCGAGATTGACGCAATGCGCAAAGACCGTCTGCTGAGTGAATCGAATAATATTAACAAGATGCAAAAGCGTGTGCGATGAGTTGGAGTCGTCGTTTATTAAAAGTCATGCGGATGAATGTCAAGGTAGACGGATGGTTGTCTGGGAAGCGGACCCTGTCGAAAGCTATAGCCAGATAGAACCCCAGGCCCTTTGTTTACTTTGAGACGGGAGCTTAGAGGGCAGCTAATCGAGTGGATGGTCCGACACTGGTGTAAGCAATAGATCGAGAATTAAATACTGTTGAAAGCTTCTCAAATTAATTATTGAAAGGACTGGACTCGGTGATTTTCTAGTTCAAAGTATTCCCTCCGGGCTTATATAGCAAATGCAGGTTCGTGGCGTCTCTGCCAAAGAGTCACATACCAGCTGCTTTGTCTCTCATGACTTCTCACTGAGGTACGTTGCAGGCCGTGCCACACTCGGTGGGGAGCTATCCTCCCCCCCCCCCCCCGTCGCTTTTAGCTTGTCATGCCCTGTACGCGACATTGCTTAGTGCCCAGGTTGCTTGTTTCTATAGCTGGGCTCTTAGTTAGGACAGAAAAAGTTTGCATGACTGAAATCCACGGGGCTTTTGATCACTGCATCGGCTATGACAGATGCTCACTTGTTTATGTCTGCTTCTATCATGCCTATTGTTTTCTCGCACGCTCTCCGACACACTAAGGTAAGGTACCGGCTGTGGAGGTTACAACACAACGGCTCATCCGTCTCAAGGCACGAGAGACTCTGGAACTTGGACAAGAGATTGGTAGGCATCCTAGTGCATGTTGCTCTTAACGACTGAGACTGCTGATGTCAATGAATTCTGGAAGAGGAAAGTGGTCTCAGAAGAAGTATGGGGTAGAGAGACATGGTCACGAGAGTAAAATCTATTATCAATTACCTTAGTTAGAAGATCTGTCGCATCCATTCATGAAATATTTTTATTTCCATGGATTACTCATGTATGGAGAGCTTCGTATCTGGGGTGATGGGATTTCGTGACATGGGCAATATCTAAATATCAAATGCAAATTTTCAATTTATCAATGGCATAAGCGAAGAAAGTGTGTTGACTTGATGATGTAGGGTTCCTTATATTCATGCTATATCCTCGTCTCTCATCATAGCCCTCTTTGTTATAAGCTCCCAGGATCTTCATGATATGCAACACTTGCAACCAGAACGGGGCCCCAGTTAAAGCGAGATGGGGACATGCACCCACAGCCTCACACCCAGCTCCAAGTTTGGAGGATGGCCAATGCACGTTTGCAATCCCCAGCAACGTTGACTTTAGCATCTAGACCGCAGGGTAGAAATGGGCCACCCTCTAATGTTTGGCTTGATACTTGGATCTAAATACTGCCTACCAATGCGAAAAATGAGGCCACCCTCATGTAGGGCACTTGAACCATAGACAGAAGAGTGACACGACAGCTGCACATTGCCTACTTTTCCGACTGACGATAATGTTCAGATGAAAATACGATCAAGAAGAAATATGCATGAGCTCCGTGAGTACCAGGTGGGTATCACAGATCAGCCTTATCTCACCTAGTAGTGAATATGTACGGAGTAACATGTTAAGAACTTGAAGAAGAACACTACAAAAGCCAAGATCCAGCCTTTCTTGAGAAAAAAGAGAATATTCCGAAGAAAGGTTTTTTGGTTGTCTGATGATTTTCCCCTCTGGTATGCTAACTTCTTTGTGACTCGCCCAGGCAGGTCGATTCCCTCTATCCAACATTGTTTCTGTTGTCTCAGTTGAGTCCAAGGCCCCTTGCATTCAAATGGCCAAAGCTTCCGTGGGACAACTGAACCGCCAACCCCCGCCGATCTCGGGTTGCCCTAGCAACCTCGACCTCTCTCAGCTGTGACGCCAGACGCTCGAGCACCGCGGCTGTCCTACCGCTTTTTTGACAGGCGTAGCTTCAAACGTCGTTTCTTTTCAACACGCTTCTTGCGCTCTTTTAATTTTTACAAGAGCCTTACTCTCGAGGCCTCTGTCTTGCCTTGTTGTACATTCCACGATCTGTGGTGATTCATTTGTTATTACTCATTCATTACTTTTGCACAACCATATCCGTCATCCTGAGACTCCTCCGTTTTGGGCCCTCGCATATCGTGTTTTTGGTCGTTAAGCCCTGTCCGACAAAATCGTGTTTGATATGCCTGTATCTACAGTCCGATAAATCCTCATTTCGCCCCGTCTCGAATTATTCGAGTCCAAACCACCTACTCTGGGTCTTGTTTAGTCTCTGCTTGAAATCATCTATCAACAATATGGCACCTGCTGCACCACCTTTACCGACGAGGTTCCCATGTTGGTGTAGAGCTGTGTACTCATGGGGAGGAGAGGTTTGTTACCACGCCTCTATAATCTCAAATTACGCTAACTTGAGAACAGTCGAAACGAGATCTGGGATTCATCGAGGGAGATCTGATTGAATGTTTGAATGCTGGTGATGGTTCGTGGTGGGTAGGCAGACTATACCGAGATCGAAGGACCGTGGGATCTTTCCCTTCCAACTTTGTCGAGCTTCTCCCTTCTCAATTCCGCCCAACAACCAAATCTGTTCCGGCTCCTGTACCAAACGCACCACCAAGTACTGCACCAACAAAATCCAGAACGTTTCGGAAGCCATTCGAAGCATACGCCAAAGCTCCTCACTACACCAGTGCGAAACAACCCGAAATCTTCAAAGAATCCCCGAAACCCAAGGAACGACAAAACTCTGGCGCTTCGTTCGCCCCTAGTACTCATGAAACGGAACGAGGCCCATCGCCTGCACCTGCTCAGTCGTATAACCACAGAGGACCCTCGCCCGCACCACCTCAAGCGTACGATCATCGGGCTCCTTCGCCAGCACCCTCACCGGCACCTTCTCACCACTATGGCTCACGGGCTCCATCTCCAGCTCCTATGCACAATTACCACTCGAGGGCTCCTTCACCTGCGCCAATGCAAAGCTACCACCATTCAAGAGCTCCATCACCAGCTCCTCCTCATGGTTACGATGCAAGGGGACCTTCTCCTGCTCCTCCGATGCACCAGAGCTATGGCTATGCTTCAAGAGGTCCATCTCCCGCGCCATCTTTCCATCGTCAAATAGTCCCTTATCGAGGAGGACAGGATAGAGGTAACTCACCGCCTCCCCCACCACCACCTCCTCACCGGCAGATGACGAGAGGAGGATCCAACGATCTGCATAGGAGATCTATTGATATCTCACGCCATGGATCCAATGCCTCTTTCCAACCCTTCTCACCCTCGAGGCAAAATTCAAACAATTCCTACCGACCGCCACAGCCACCACAACCAACAATCAGGCATGGATCTAGAGGGTCTTTCGATGATAGATCGTATACGCCGTACACCCCTGGCAGGAACTCCCCCGTCCCGCCATCCCCCGCCGGAGGTATGACCCCTTCCCCATTGAGAGAGGCCATGGATGGGGTCATGGAGCAATTGGACGTACTAGGTGGTGGTCTTGGAAGGTCTGGCCAAGCTCCTTCACCTGAGCCACCTGCCGATCCTTGGTCTCCAGAATCATTTGATATGCTGTCTCATCGTTCAACTAGAAGGGACCAGGAGCGAAGCAGGCCTAAAACCTCGATGGGAATCGCGCAAGATGAGGGGTATGAAACATATAGCGGCGAATCGTCTCAAGAGGTGTCTTATCAGAGTGGAGGAAGAGAAGACAAGCTCAGCAGTTATGTTGATCGCATGGAAAAGAGGTTCCAGCAAATGCATCGTCAGAACTCAAGGACTAGCGAGCCTGATGATGACCAGCCACCTCCTCCGCCCCCTAAAAATATGCCGTATGAGCGGCCGAAATCGTCTATGGGCCGGTCCATTGAGCCTGAACGAAAGTTACGGGCTCGCAAGTCGGCATATGAGATCGGAAGAGGAGTTGCCCGCACATTGACAACGAAAACCAACTCGACCAATTCGTCATCAGGCAATCAGAGCAACACCAGCTCATCAACCCAGAGCACTTCAAGGACCCTGTGGAGCGGGACATCAGCTGGCGCTTTCAGTACTACTAGTGCGGGAAGCCTCGCACGCTCAGGCAAGCGTCAACGTGCACAAAGTGCCCTGGGAGCACGAGACTTGGAGATTGATAGACCGGACTCTCCTTTCACAGGAGTCACCTATCACAGCAGCCATGCAAGTGATTCTCCAGCGCAACAGCGTCCCCAGACCCAGGTCGGCTTCCACGATGATCCTTCGTTGGAATTGGGAGGCTTAGTGCAACCAAAACCACCCAAGAGGAACATCTTCCGTAAGATATTTGACACCGCCAAAACAGGTGTCGCGAGCAGCCGAGGCGGTCTTGTTGCTGGTGGTCTCGGTATGGACTCGACAAAATCACCTTTTGCTCGTTCAATGCCAGCTGGAGCTTCGCCTATGCCAGGTATGGGTAGCACGTCTACCAACAGAGACGTTGCAACAGAAATGGGTTTGAGTGGTGGTGTTGATTGGGTTCAGGTCCGACGTGATGTGAATCGTTCCAATTCGCTCAGTACAATAGAGTTGACTGAGCGCCGCGAACGATGTCAAATGATGGACCACCCTGCCCTTAATCCTGTCGATGAACTATATGAGGGCGTCGAAGGAGATGAGGGAGCTGACGGAGAGCCAGTCCAGGAACCCACCGACTACCAAGCGATTAACTTGTCTCAAGTTGATAAGAATTCTCGGTTCATCAGCGGCCTTCCTCCTGCCATAACAGCCATCCAACTTGCCACTACATACGTATGTCGACCCTACAGGAGCGAGGTCCAGCGGCTGCGAGCTATTTTTATGTGGGTTTCCGAGAAGATCTGCTGGGAAGAGGACTTTGAGGGTGAAATCGACACAACACGGGTGATCCAGGCGAAAAGAGCGTGCGCTGAGGAGTATGCTGTCTTAGTGATGGAGATGTGTTCTGCTATCGGTATCCACTGCGAGATCGTTCGAGGCTACCTCAAGTCTCCAGGGGAAGTTTCTGAAATCAACATCATGCCACGACCCAACCATTGGTGGAATGCCGTTGTCGTTGACAATGAGTGGCGCATGATTGACTGCTGTCTTGCCAGCCCCTCGTATCCTCGGCGAGGTTTATACTCCAATGCCAATAACACAGCCGATCCGTGGTGGTTCTTGACCAGGCCACTGGAGATTTGCTGGACACATATCCCAGAGCATCACAGCCAACAGCACATCGTACCACCTGTCGCACACGAAACACTGCTAAATCTGCCATGCGCTTGTGCGCCCTTCTTCCGCAATGGTTTCGAGATGGTGGACTACAATACTGCATTGACTCGAATCGAAGATCTGGAAATGGTTCATATCAAATTCAGTGTTCCATGCGACGTGGAGATTGCCGCCGAGGTCGAAGTTCGAGGCTATTCGAGAGATTCAGACGGAGATGTGTTTGAAAGCGGCGATATCGTCAAGAAGAGGGCACTGGCTCAGGCCGAATGGTTCAATGGCATAAAGCGATACACTGTCAAAGCTCTACTGCCTGGAGATGAAGGGCAAGGTACTTTGAAGATTTATGCGGGCAAGCGAGGCCTTATGCACAGCATCAAGGATATTCCACACCCGCTTGCTTTTGCATTGCCTATTGTTCACACTGGTGAAAACCCGCCCTATGATTTTGTCACAAGACATCCAACTCCTCACGCACAGCGGCATGATATCTATGTGGTTCAGCCGCAGTGCCAAAGGCTTGCACTTAACAATACCTTTGTTTTTGCCATCAGACAACACCCAAGTTCGCTGGGTGGATCGGCACTTACACCGTCGTCTAATCCAGGCGGCACCAGCCCCATACCGTTCGCCCGCCCCAGTTCAGCGCTGAGCATGAATGCGTCCAGTGTTAGCGGCTCGACCCCAAGCTCAGCTACGGGCACTGTGGCTGGGAAGAAGCCTGCCAAGTTGGCGATCCAGACTCCAGGAGGCAAGATCCTCCGTCTTATGAGGAAGGAGGATCGTAAGGGTATTCACGTTGGAGGCCGAAGTCTCACGGGCAGTGAAACTGCTAGTGATGGTGGAACCTGGGAGACAATAATCAAGTGTTCAGAGAAGGGTGTATGGCGAGGCCTTGTACTCGCAGATCGCACGGCTCGATGGTGTGTCTTTGCTGAATGGGTTTGCATGGGTTGATCATTACATATGTAACGGAGGATTAGCATTGGGCAGACTTCGTTGGAGTTTCCTCTCATATTTGGTTGTTTCGTCTTCTAATACCCAAGGAGGAGGATCTTGCATGCCCTGGCGCACAGCGGTATGGTTATAGAAGTGCGCATGGGCCTTGGATTTTCTTTGTTTTGGTAGGGATCATCTATTGCATTGGGGTTTGTTCAAAAGTAGCAGACATGTCAGAAACTTATCGCAAGGTGTAAGATAATAGCATGTCACGAGCAACGATTGCAGCACATGATGAATAATTTAACTTATGATTCTTTATTATTATGTTTGATGGCAAGTGCAAATGAAGATATCAATAATCACACTAAGATTAAGCTCTCAGAGGAAGTTGTGTTGGTTCCATCGAATAGTCGTTAGTTTGACTCGTAGTTCCGCAATTTCCATACCGTCTCGGCCAATCACATTGCTCTGCGACACGGCGATAGGATCCTGTCGCACTCGTGCCTTTCCATTGTTTTATGGTTTAAACCTAACACGATCGAATCCGCAGACGCAGACGCAGCAAACACGATAATAACGAGCAGGACGAACGAGCCGCGGTAGATTGTGCTATAGATTGTTGTGTTTGACAAGTGAGCCGATACAAACCCCATCCGTGAATGGTAAACCCACCGACGGACCAAGACGGACCATGAAGCGCAATCGCGTTGGTCTGCGCACCGCGACGAAACGACAGATCGAATGCTGAAATCGATACCGAGAAAGCGGAACACAGTGATTTAGGAGAGGCCATGAACTACAGGCCTTTTCATGGCCAGGGCCAGGGCCAGAGCCAACAAGGCTCACAGCAACCGCTGCCAGTGCCCGGCATGAATCCGCCTTCATCTTATATGCCTGGCGGTTACCAGCAGTATACGAACCCTCAACAGCAGCATCAGCAGCAGTTCTATTCAATGCCCCAACAGCAAGGTCAGCAGCAGCAGCAGCAGCAAACGTACCTTCAGCAGCAGCAGATGGCACAGTTCGGGGGCATGCAAACGGCTTTTCAGGGATACGATACAGCGGGACAAGCGTATGGAGGACACCAGATGCAACCAGCTGCCGCGCAATATACACCTCCAGCGAACGTTTGGCAGCAGCAGCAATCTACGGGGGGGCAGAATATGATGTACCAGCAACAATATCAGCAACCACATCATCATCAACAGCAACAGCAACAAATGTACCAGCAGCACGTCGCGTCGCCTCAACAACACGTTCAACCGAGAAGGCAGTCTGACCACGTCCCTTCACCGCAGCAAAGACCTTCTTCGATACCCCAAAATCAAGGATATTCACTCCCCCAGGCGCAGCAACAACGGTCTCAACACCAACAGTATTCGCAGCAGCATACGTCACAGCAACAATACCAGCAACAGCACACACACTATCAGCAGCAGCCTCAGGTGACGGCCCCTCAGCCATCACCGCAACCTGCACCAAAGCAAATAGCCTCGCCGGCTCAGCCACAGGCTCGACAAATAAAACAGAACCAGCAGCCACGCCAGGACCCTTCCAAACAGCAGCAAGAGACAATTGGACAACCTGCGCAGGAACCTATCATAATAGATGTAGATGAGCCCGCATCGGAGATGGTTGCACAGCCTGTCCCGGAACCAACTCAGCAACAGCCAGTTGCACAGCAAGAACCGGAACAGATGGTCTATGTGAATCTACAAGACATCCAAAAACTGCCACCGCTTCCGCCAGTAACCATGGACCAGACACAAGGCGGTTCTACATCCCATACAGGGAAGACAGCGAACTGGGACGCGCAGTACGAATCAGGCACTGTCAAGCCTATGGACATTATGCTGAGCAGCCCGCAAACTCAGCCCCTTCCGCCTCCTCAGCCAAAAGTGCAGGCATCTCATCACCAACCCGCGCACACACAACCTCAAATGGCCACTCCCCGGGCAAAACCGAGCCCTCTCTCATCCGTAGTCAACTCACCAGCGATTAATGCTCGCTCTCCAAGTATTACCAAGAAATCTCCCGCAAGCACGCCAAAAAGCAGGCCCCTTGACACTGTCCATCTTATGGTGGCAGTGGCCGAAGAGTGCTTTGATAAGGCCCGTGGCTCTGTACATGATGTTGCGATGTCGCTGAATGCCACGCGGATAGACGAGTACCAGAAACTGATCTCGACAGGCTTGGCGTGTCTGGAGGCGTGTTTGCAAAGTAATAGACTGTCTCCGCGCCAAGAAGCACAGATGCGGTTGAGATACGCCACGGTAGTATTAGAAGAGACAGAAAACCCAATGGAAGCTGAGACGGCCGTCACAAAAGGCATCTCTCTCTGCGAAAAGGTAAGCGACGACTGACTTACCTTCGTACTGCACAGCTGACCGACTCTGGCAGAACGGCTTGGCCGATCTCAAATATTGCATGGATTATATCAGGTTGAAACTCCTATTTCAGCGAAATCACAAGGCTGCTTTGAATGCAGCTGATCGTCAAATCGCTGACTGTGAAACGTAAGTTCCGTAGCAACTGGAGTGTGGCCCCTATTGACTTGTTTCACAGCTACAAACACATCCAATGGGTTTATGCTTTCAGACTGTTGAAGGCATCATTTTACATGGAGCTTGGCCAGACAGCTGACGCCAGTGCACTGGAGAACATTCGCTCTATCCAAGTTACAGCTAGCTCCCGTGGCGACGATGCCCTGAGTGTGTTTGCCTTCATTCTTGAAGGTCTGGCACTTCTCAAAGCTTCCAAAGATGGCAACTTTGAAAAAGTCCAAGCTTGTATTGCTCAAGTAGCGAAGTATCAGTGTGAACCGTCGATTCATATCATGCAACTCGATATACTGACGCTACTCCTGGATCTTGTCTGCACTATCAATCACTCTGGCATGGATTTGATGCATGATAAGCTTAAAATACTTCAAGATCGCATGGATGCGTGCACCGATTGGCATAACGTCAAGTCCGACTTTCTCATTCCGGTCCAGAAGCAACCTTCTACTGGTCATACTATTAGTAGTGACACAGCGGGCATCATTAGAAGCGGTGAGGGTGTTCAACAGGATTTTCTAGTCATGTCATTCATGACCAAAGTCGAGTTGAATTCCCTTGTGTAAGTTACCACCCTTCCTTCACGCATTTTTACCAAATTAGCTGACATGTCGCTAGTCTCACTTTGACAGGCCTCGTGAATATGCATAAACCTAACACACATGGCCTACAAGGTCGACAAATTCGACAGACAGTCGATTTCTTGAAAGAAGGCGCGCAAGTCCTGGATACTTGTAAGTAGCATCGCTTCATTACCCAGATATTTTACTGACATGTACTAGGGGACAAAGTGACAGCCGGTTTTAGATATGGGCCGTCCATCTCGTTACAAGACGCCATTGCGCAGCGTGAGTGGCGGCTGGAAGCTCACTGCTATCTTACCATCTTACTTGGCCTATACGCAGCTAGTCAATGTCGATGGGACCTGGTAAAGCAATACATCGTGAAGCTTCAGGATATTATGACACCGTCCACACAGGGCATCCTGCGTTTACTGGCTATCTACCTATCGGGAGTGTTTGACCAAGGCACAGGGGAATTGGATGCTGCTATGAACACTTTCCAAAAGCCTGACTTTGATCTAAACCAGCGGGGAACTGGTGTCAAAGCCGCACATCGCGAGTTAGCCATGCTAGCAGGTTTGAACAGGCTTTGGATCATGCAGCATCCATCACACCGAGACGATCGAGCGACACTTGATCTGATCGAAGAACTAAGGCCGTTGTGCCTGAGTCACCACAATGTCGACCTACGGACTGCTTGGCATAACGTTATGGCTGCTATTAGCACCGATCCACCTCAGCAGCTCAATCAACAAAAGCAGCACATACAATCTGCCATGGCCGGATCCAAATCCACTAAAAATTTACTAGGCGCAGCCGTCACACTCGCTATCATGCGCAGCCGCTTATTCGAGAACGTCGTTGGCGATCAAGCTCTGAAAAGCGCACTAGCAGCATCCAAGCAGGCCCATCGTAGTGGCAATGTCTTGTGGCAGAGCGTTGCGGACGGTATGCTTGCTCACTCTTATGAAGTACAAGGCAAGGAAGAGGAAGCAGCGCAAGAATGGGCGAGGGCGACAAGGGAAGCCCAGGATGCATTTGCAGGAAGTTTCTGAATGAGAGCATAACCTGGTTAAGTAGAGCTCACAGGGCTGGCGTTTATGGCAAGGAGTTCTCCCGCATGTTTTAAAAAGAGAAATTATTTCATGATTGTATATCAGACTCGGGGGGTTGTGGAGATCTGCACGATACCTGACCATACATGTCTTTGGTCTTAGCTGTTTGTGGGCAGGAAGTGGTAATTAGAAACGACACAAAGTCGTGCTTTTTAGCCGTGACAACGGCGTCAATCAAGGTCCTGGATTCGATTGAGTCCTGAGCTTATTAAAGGCATCTCCATTCAGCAGATGCATCGTGACTTTGCCAAGAGAGTAGATCACCGACGGAATCCAGGGGGTGGTTGGAAGCCTGGAGGAGGCATAAAACCAGGCGGGGGAGCACCAGTAGCACCGGGGGCTCCTTGAGGAGCAGGGAATCCGGGCGGAGGAGCAACTGGAAAGCCCTGCGCCGGAGAACCGGAGGGTGGTCTGAAACTGCCTGGGTGGAAATCAGCTGGGTTGGTGTATCCAGCCTGTGATTGCGGGGGTCGCGCAGGCAAACCTGAGGGAGCTGGTGGTAAAGGGACGGAGCCTCTTGGAGGGGCTCCGGGGGGCGGAACTCCGGCATTGTATGGCGACGGACCTCGGCCAGGAGGTGCAAACCCACCGGGGATGCCCTGTGGAGGTGCGCCGACGGGGGGCATTCTTCCCATAACTGAAGGATCGAAACCTGCCGGAGGTGCAGCTGCAACAGGTGGTGGTTGTAGAAACGCCTGAGGGACAGGCTGTGCTTCTGGAACGATGTTCCGTTTCTTCGCTTGAGCAGCAAGCTCACGCTCAGCCTCGTCACCATGTCTCTCTCCCTTTCCGTCCTTCTTGAAAGCATACTGGACCGAAACCTCCTTACTTAAGATGTACTGTCCGTGCAAGTTCGCGATAGCAGCATCACTACTCTCAAAGTCGGCAAAGCTGATAAAACCAAAACCCTTGCTCGCGCCAGACTCCTCCCTTGCGACCTTTGGCGAAGTGAGTAGTGGACCGAAGCGGCTGAAGGTGTCCCAGAGGATCTTCTCGTCTACCATAGGATCGAGGTTTCCAATAAACAGCTCGGCGCCAACCTCGGCGGCACGCTGCTTGTCTGCGCTAGCCTTGTTAACGCGCAAACTCTTTCCATAAAGTTTGATGCCATTCATAACATTGGCGGCGTATTCGGCGTCTGTGGGTGTGCGAAACTCGACGAAGCCGAAGCCCTGATGTGTCTGAGTAACACGATCGCGAGGCATGTGGATGTTGTGAATGGGGCCCATCTGAAGCATGATCTCGTATACCATCGCGGATGTTGCGCGCTCGTCGATATTGCCGATGTAGACGGTCGCCTCCTTGTCTTGTTCCCTGAGAAAAGAGTTAGCTTTGCTGTCGCGTTTCGATGAGATGGGAGAGCTATACCAATGCCTATTTTGCGCCATGATGACAGATTTAGAAGAGACCTTTATCCCTTACAGTACAAGTAACTTGACAAATAAAGAGGGCGGCGAATTGACCAGAAATTGTGCTACCGCAATGATGAGGTGAACTACTACCTAAGTTGTCACCTTTACATGGAGCTTCTAGAAATTTTGGCTGATGGTTAGGATGTATGAGGTAGCCTTGTCGCGTAAGCCACACAAGGTGCCGGTGAAAATGTGGCGTCGACCGAGGTTCTTCCGCTCACGGGCAGGCATGTCCACGGTTCGGAGGTGGAATTTCCAGCTCCCGGTAGCTCTCCAAAAATTTTGGGAAGACGTCAACGTAACCCCAACGCCAGAAACGACTGCGGTTTAGAGATTCTCATTCTTGAGCTTTGAAACATCCGGTCGAGCCGCCTCGTTTTGTTGTGTAACTTTCTGAAGTCCCTCAACTACGCTTCTTTGGATTCATTCAAGATGTTTGCCCTTTCCGAGGAGTCCAAGGTATGATATAGCTTGGAGAGGTATCTATCTATTACAGCTTCGCTAACGATTAGCACAGGAGCGCATTGCCAAGCTCATCGACGTTTCGCGCGTCGCCATCCACTAGTATGCCATCGATATTTGGTTTTGTTGCTGGATGATAACTGACTTATGCTACAGTGGCTATCTTCCTCTGATCCTCTATCTCGGTACGAATAAGCTCGATTAACAACGTGCGATCGCAACGGCAATACTGATTATACATCCCAGGCTACACCCGAAGCGAGCCCCGACCTTCAGTCATCCGGTATGCATCGATCCCTACGAACCGCATACGTAAGCAATACTAATTGACTCCCTTTAGCCTTCTCTCTCCTCTCTCCTAAACAGGGAGCATTCTACAACTATACAAAACTCAACAGTGTACATTATCATGTGGAGATGTTATTCAAGGGAGGAAGGGACAACTACCACCAGCATTCATGGCGTTAGGACACGGCGTGGTAGAATTTGACGACAACCGCAGATATGCTTGGGAGGAGGGGTCGACTGTATGAATGAGTGAAAAAATCACCATGTATCATCTTGCAACGCTATGACGCCCAGAATAAGGGCATACCACTCATAATTAAATCTTGTCACAAAAATACTCTTTCGATGAAATTTGAGCGTGTGAGCTTTGGTTTGATGCGGCAGAAGACGTAAGAATTGTTCTGGTGACGTCGAAGCCTCGGCCGAGCTTCCGTAGCTTTGAGATCCGCAGAAATATTATATTGAATAATCATTTCAGCGACCTTCAACTTTTTCAACCACCACTCTACCTCATGGCGCTCTTGTATTCTCTTTACCCTCGCGAAACATGATACTCGGCTTATAGAATTATCTAATCTTCCTATATGCCCGATTCGGACCATGCGGGACTCTCTCCCGCGACCATCGAGTCCATCGCCGGTCTCAGCGCTGGTACTGTCGCGACATTGACTGTTCATCCTCTCGACGTCGTCAAGACTCGCATGCAGAGTATGGCTGATTGACTTTTACCCCTTTAACGCACAATCTCAGTGTCTGACAATTACATTTAGTCTACCGCAGCGCAGCCCCCAATGCTGTGCGCCCAACAACAGTATCCATTCTCCGTGCCCTGACATCTACTCCTCACCCTGTCGCCTCTCTCTACCGCGGTCTAACGCCTAATCTTGTCGGAAATGCCTCTAGTTGGGCCTCTTTCTTCTTCTTCAAGTCGCGCTTCGAGCGCGCTCTCGCTACGTGGCAGGGTCGGCTTGGAGGACATCCCTCTGGAGGCGATTACTTCATCGCTAGCGCTTTGGCGGGCGCAGCAACGACTACGTTAACCAACCCTATATGGGTCCTTAAAGTACGCATGGTATCCTCTGACAGAGGTTCTCATGGTGCATATCCTTCTATGCTGGCTGGCGCCCGCTCCATTCTTCAGACTGAAGGCATTCGGGGTTTCTACCGTGGCCTGGGCATCTCTCTGATAGGAGTATCACACGGCGCTGTGCAGTTTGCCGTGTACGAGCCCGCAAAGAAGTGGTACCACGCGCGGCGTCGAGAGAGGCACGGCATCGAAAGGGAGCATATGACCACTGAGGCTACTGTTGGATTATCGAGTCTGTCTAAATTCGTCGCTGGTGCTGTCACGTATCCGTACCAAGTACTCCGGAGTAGACTCCAGAACTACCAAGCTGACGAGCGGTTCGGTCGGGGTATCAGAGGCGTTGTTGTAAGAATATGGACCGAGGATGGACTGAGAGGGTTCTATCGTGGTATGGTACCTGGTGTTGTTAGGGTGATGCCCGCAACGTGGGTCACGTTCCTGGTGTATGAAAATGTCAAGTACTATCTTCCTCAGTGGGCTTGAGGTGTAATCTGATTAGCATGGCGTTGGGGGTTCACGTCATCACGGTTACAGTTTAGATATAGATGGCATCTAGGAAGTATGGGAAGTGAAGAAGAGCACAATTCAAGGGACATACAGCCCAGGGCACTCGTCACTCTATTGCATAGTATATGGCAGAGCCCCGTTGATTTAAGTCATCCACATTATTATCGCTGCTTAAGTCGCATTTGCCTTCTTCGCCTCCTCCTCCTCCTCTGCCGTAGCAGCCGCTTCAGCCTCAATCCTACGCATCTCACACACTTCGCACTGATCAGCGGAGACATACTCGGTGGAATACGTATTAGTGGTCTCGCATTTGATACCCTGGCTATACGCAGGACATTCCTGGAGTTGCTCAGTGTCACTTATAGCTCGCTGGCATTGTGTACAGTCGTACTTGGTGCACTTCAGGACACACATTATTATGAGAGGTTGGCAACTTGAAGATTTTGATCTGCAGCTGGTTCAGGACAGTAGCTGTAAGCTTTGTTCTTAGTTCCTTTCCAAGTTGAGTTCCCGTTGTCTGTGGGACCAGTGGTTTTTATACTAAATGCTGGCTGTGAATCAGACATCTTGCCCCCATATTTTGGCTATAGTTGTCTCGTTTTAATCTATCTCGTGAGCTTGAGATATGACTCAGAGAAACACCTGCAACAATCGTTTTGTCATACTTGGTAGCTTCGACGCGTGGTAAATATGTTTCATCATTCGATCATCTTGCTTTGGGTTCGTATAGACCTACAGTTGTAACCAAAGGCAATAGTTGGTGCAGTTGGCAAACATGGGACATCATCCCCTCACATATATCAGTACTTTCAATCCACTTTACTGGTGACTGAAACTCATTCTTGCGTATAAATGTATATAGTGACTGAGTGTTACCATGCCGCCTCCAGCATAAGTTGAGTCGAGCATACCCTACACCACCGTGTGACAAACCTTGAGCCCCGATGATACAAGACTCATAAGCCATGGTAAAAAGATGTTGGAACATGGAAAAAGACAACAAATTAGCCCACTGCATACAAGCAATCTTGTATTCCATTCTACTTAGCTACCTTTGTGTCATGTCCTGACCATCAGCCCATAGACTCATACATCCAGCTGCAGTCACCAAAACCACACTCACATCACGAACACTTACTAAAAGCTCATTCCAGATACCCCGGATATCACATCCAATCAAACAG